ATGAGTCAGAGCGGCTCAATGCTACAGAATGGTAGAAAAGGACGACCATCAGTTCTCAGTAGTTGGCGGGTACTTTAAACAGTTTTTGCCGAAGCTTCTCGGTGAAGGGCGGATCTGTATCCGATGCAATGTCTACCAGCAAGCCGTGTTGAGTGAAACACCGCAAAAAAGCTTGGCTGGATCATCACTGATTACGTACAGAGAGATTGACCATTTAGTCAGGCGGTCCACGAAGACTAAAGTGCATGTATTTTCTGGTGCAATTTTTAAAAACTGGATATAGAATCCATACTTTCCAATTGTCAGCACTCTGCCGGACCCCGGCAGCTGGCCAAAGATGCTGCTTGCGAAAGTGAGGGTTTGATTCGTCAGCACATTTCACATGTGCGCACATACCAACTTATACAATTTAGCCAGCATTATGTTCCGCTCACAAAGTTATATGTCTTTCATTTTGTGATATGGCCACCCAAGGGGTATCATATGTCTCGAACAGTACCCTGTACTTGAGACCCTCATCGTGAAGCACCTTTAGATGCTGACTGTCATGTGGGTCAGTACTATAATACAGCAAACTTCGTGAAAATTGATAGCGGCGCAGACGTACGACATTTGCACTTCTATAGAAAACACTTATACTCTCGAACATTTATCAATCCATGCGTGACGCTTCCGATGTCCACGCTATATGAATTTTTCCATCGATTAGCGACGTCATCATAAATAAACGACGAAGCACATCAGCCACCACAACATGCTATCCCGACTTATACCTTGCCTCAAAGGTATACTCGACAAAGAGTGGTAACCAACCGTCTTGTTACTTTTTGACCGCGCCAATATGCGCAATGACGCATGCTCTGAAGAAATCACGAACGGCTTAAATTCAGGTAAGTATACTCTAAATTGACGAGGACCTGCTTCTTTGCATGTATATCCATGTTCGTGAACAGGGGGTTCTAAGCTACAGTCCTAAGCTCACTTTAGTTCTCTGTGTTTGTTTATATTCTGCAGACGAGACACTCTAACGCGATCACCCGTTCAAGCATTATGGCATCTGATTGATGTAAAGCGCAATTTTTTGCAACGACCGAAGCTTCCAAAGATGACGCGAGTGTAATTTTTGATTTCAAATGCGCCATAATGCAGATACGCATGACATTTCCTCACAACATAAATACCACTATTTTCTGTGCTTCAACGCAATTTAACATTCTTTGTAAGGGCAAAACCCAAAGTGAAAAGGGATGACTTAAAATTGGCACGATGCGATGGTACTGCTAAGCCGACCTTTCTGTGTAACGGCTCCACTGTGTAGAACAGTACAGCTCGACGTATTTCTCGTGGACGTGAGATTCTCTCTATTTTCCTCAGAAAACCTCTCATTGCGTTCGACGAATGATCTAAGGGGATATTGACAAAGTATTACAAGTCGATGAAGTTGGTACGATTAGTACCGTAGGAGCGCCTGAGCCCATCATCCGTTATCGCCGAGTCTATTGTAAAAGACACTCGCAGAGCGCTGAGGTGAAACAAACACATCCGGAGCTTTCAGATGCTTTTTCTACAGTATTGCGGTAATATCATGATGTGGCGACGAGAGATCCAGTACCAACACACCGGTTTCGCGTAATGATTTCTACATGGTTATTGAAAGCAAATTGTACCTCAATAGACATTACTAAGGGACGATGTGACATCATATATTCTTCTTCTTGCAAAGCTGGAAGCAGGATCTGTGCGAGGGTACTGATTCCTGTACTCAGCGTTGCTACAGGGGCGACAAACAACGTGCAAAGATGGGTTCATATGCTCCACTCGAGAGCAGAAACGAATGCTCCTCGACTAACTCGTGACTCAGAGCTGCGACATAAGTCCAAAAATGATGTATTATAAAATTATATTTGGCCTTTATTAATGCCAACAATCTGTTTCACGATGTTTGACCACAAATTTACATGTACAGCATTATCAGCCCAGGACCTCTTCTATATGAACTGTCATCACTCTCAGCAATTCACGTACTGCGAAACATTAAACGCGGAACGTATCCCCTTCTAAGGTCAGAAAGAATAGCGGCAAGTTACTAATCAAGCATGCGTCTAACAGCTTAAAGACAGTCAATATTACGACACAAATCTTGATTCCTTTAATACATCGCGTGACAGCGCTCGACCAGGTACATCCAATTACCAGATTTGCATTTACTAGTGGAATCTTTCTCGATGACCTTAACTAAGCTTCATCGAAGCAACAGAGCTACGGCAGTCCCATTGCAATACTTGTAAATAGCACGAACATCTGGAGTCCGTATGAATGGTTTTGAGCATTGCTCAAGTTTATGCGATCATTGTCCAATATTGACAAGTTCTTTGGTGACGAAAAATCTACCTTTCTGGATACTTCATTGGTAAGCAAGCCCCACGAGCAGAACCCGCAAAAAATGAGTTTCATGGATCAGAACCCTATGACAAAAAGAAATTAGGTGTGTATTGGCTTGCCCAACGTCTTGAACAAAGATAGCGCAAACTGCGCCAATATGGTACAGCCCGGCATCTATCTCCCTGAAAGGAAACCAAAAGGTGCTAGATGCTGCAAAAATGCAGCATTCTAAGTTCTGTAGGAAAACGTCGCGTGTGTTCCTTCCAAATCCGGATGGACCTCTCATTTCGTCTATGAAGCATTTGTCGCAACCAGTGCTTTATTTTTAACAGGTGCTATTGAGCATGCAGGTGCAAACGTGTTTGAGTCTCACCAGCTTATATCCTCAGAAAGAAATTTGACAATTAATGATATGGAGATACTCGCGTTGAAGCTGGTTTTGTCAGGTTCAGGGTGGTTTTAAGCCATCTTTGCTCTACATAGATTATCTGCTGTTCCGCACAAAACCATCGTCACTACATCTTTCGCAGAGTACAGCGACATGGTCATTTTTCTTGTTAGGTATACCTTTGAGGTAAGGTATAAAATGATTAGTTTTGCGTTGAGGCAAACGCGCTTCGCTTTGCTTCATCGATTATCTGTTGCATTATCACGATGACGACACTGCGCGCTGATGAGACGATATCGTTTCTCTACCTCTTTCAAGGTTATCGTGCACTCTGATCCCATTCGCTAGAAGTGGTATGAAACTTTGCGGTGAAGCTCACGGCAACAAACAGCTTTCTCCAAAGCAAGCTGAATTTTGCGTAGCAGGCAATGCTTGCCCAACTGTTCCTAATCATATAATCAATCCGTCTGTGTTTTTTCGCCATTTTTATGCCTTTGCGCATATACACGAGGCCCTCGTCAATAGATAGCCCCATACAATTTGAAAATCAAGAAAGTCAGTTCTTAATACTGCGACTTTGGTATATGTAAGCAACATCCGAGATTAGACCCTTCTTGCTTAAAACGTTTCTTACGATGCGTCGCATGTCCGTACGCTATACGTACCACCGCATCAATACGCACCACCTGAAGCCGACCCAGCCAGTACTTATCGCGGCAGAAATTCCGGCAAAACTGATAAACGTCTCGCCATTCTTTTGAGGGATGTGGTGACAGCGTTGCTGTGGATAACAATGCGTGATTTGTATATACCACAAAAGCAAAGAGCAAAAAACGTCGTATACACTGCTTTTGACAAAAGCATGCAAGCAAACCTTCGTCATAAATGGAGTAGCTCTTCACTGACGTTAGACGCTGGTGAGACTCGAGCGCAATGATACGTTCATGCCCATTGACACGGCCTTGAAGCGAGACAAAGCCAATGAAAACACCCATAGGATCACAAACGACATTATATACCGATTTGATTTAGTTAAAGACAAACAGAATGCTCGCTGTTGTAGTCTTGAAGGTCCCTACTTTACCACACCCAGACTTCGATCATACACCCAACGAAGATTGATCTGGGATCGGTGTAATTTGCACTAATCTGTCCACTATTGTATTTGTCTGTGCAAAATCTGTCTGCAGGCCATACTTCACAACAATATAGCCGAGAAAGCTGGAATGATAACTTTATAAACATACTTGTTTATATTGGTAAACAACCCTTTCAAACGCATACACTCGAGCGCCGCTCGGTAGTGATTGGTACATCTGAATTTTAATCCCTGCACTGATGAGAGCAGATATATCGTCAAAATTTATTCACAATGTGGAATGGATGTCTGCACATACATAGGATCGAATGTCGCTGGCTCATTCGACAGTCCTTCCGGCAGTACCAGTAACTTCATAAACACTCCACTCTAATTTGCACCGCAGACTAATATCGCTGTTCATCATAAACAGTTGACAATACTTATGGAGCTTGTCAAAGCACTGAACAAAATGCCGCCGACCATGCTGTTTTGCAGCACACCCATTCTACAAATCCTTATAGTACCGGAAGAACGACAGCATTTAGCTTATTACACGAAAGCACAATTCGCCTCTTGCCGTTAGCCTTTCCGATACAGAAAATTGGCACCGAGCAAAACCATATACCCTCTCTCACCAATTTTCTCTATGTTCTTAGACGACGGAAAGCGTTGATGACATAACATTGTTTCTTTTATACAGGGCGTTGTTGCGTGACGCAATCGAACCGAGTCATGACGCACTCCCCTATCCAAGAGTATAACGCTTGGCGGATATCTTGTTCTCTCATCTTATCATTCCTACAGCAAAGTATACAACAAATTTATGAGATCGTTGTAAATAGATGTATCACCTTTCAAACTCAGTGCTCTGTAAGTGCACATAATGGCGATGAGCTCTGCTCGCCACCAGCATCAACCGCACCATCTCAGCAAACCAGTAGACTTTCAGTTTTCGCGCAAATCCACAGAAATGTATCTTCCAGCTCTTATAAATTTCTGCTGACTATACTTACAATTTTTAGACTACCCCAGCCACTCTATTGAAGTGAATAATCTTTCGCATTTCCTACTCGTCGATCTTCAGTACTCTGCACGATGGGCACGTCTTACAGTAGAGCTGACTCAACAATACAATCACATCATAAAAGGATGGATCATCTTTCTTCTTTTCAGGGTCTGGCCATTTTATTCGTGGCTTGCAGTTGCCCTCTAGCCACACTGGCTCGGGTATGAGAGACTGCAACGACCATTGGCTCACATTCTCTACCGGCCCTGGCACAAGATACACCAGCTTACAGATGCTCTCTACCGTCGCACAGATATACACTCTGACCACCGCGATATTGCAGTCGCCTTTTTGTCTCATTCGGACCATTGCCGCTTTTGTCTTCCGAGCTTTGCTCAAGGAACCTAGCAATACTGGTGCTATCAATTTTGGAAAATACTGCTCCCCGCCAGTAGTAATGCATATTGATTAGGTATTATTATATTAATGAGGAAAACTTATGGTCTAAGAAATTGGCGGCTCTGCCGCAATCAAAACAATTAAATACAGTTTCAATTTAAAGGGAAGATTCCTTTCACCCTAGTTAAGGTTTTCAGTGCTCTTTGAGGTAGCGCATTGCGATCCGCTACACTCGTATTGGTTCTTGTGAAGAACGCAAGGTCGGAGAACTAGTTTAACTTCTTCTAAGCAAAGAGTAACGGCAGCCCCGATGCACTCCCCGTGATGGGTTCATCGGCCACTCTTGTTTAAGAGGCCGATCCTTCGATTCGGGTGGCGTCGTCATGCAGAATATGTTCGACAATGAGTGGACACATGATCAATAAGTAGGTAAAGGTACCGTATTCCCCTAACGGAGTCATAACCTTAGCAGATATCAACGCGCCTGATGCGATGTCTAATTTGCATATTTGGACAATGTCTCTATCATGCTATCAGAAATTTGTGCAGTGCTTGGAGATGATGTAATTGTAGATTCGTCATGCTTTCGACAAAGCCACCTATTTCTTAACAGGTCACCCCACTGGTGCCGAATGCTATGTCCGAGCTCAACAGGCTACATAAGCCCAACAAGCCGAAGATTAGGCAAGGAGGCTACTCAAGGTATCATACCTTGGATCAATGACTGTAACGGGGTTACATGAGAGTGTCCCGTCACTCTCCCAAGGGGGCTGTGGTGTGGCATACACCACAGCTACTAGATGGGTACATGGCTTGAGAGACATGTAATAGGAAAAACATTAAGAACACCTATAAATATATTCAGTCTTAAAACTACCTAAATCTGGTTAACGTTCCTCTG